CTAATTTGAATTGATACCTACTTAACTTCAATTGCATACAAAAACTCCACTTCTGTTCAGTTCCATTCCCCCTCTATGTTGTCAATGTTACAATTAAATTGTCATACATTGTGTGCCCGATAACAGATTTATAATTATTTTATGCATTTTACTTTTAAATCCTATAGAAAATAAAAAGTGGAGATATCAACCAAAATTACAATAATACTAGCTTTAAATTTTTCCATCCATTTACCTTTTCAGGAATTTTTATATCTTCATATGGCTTTGAGTTAATATCTAGTGTCCTTTCATTTTAACCTGAAGGAGTGTCTTTACCATTTTGTAGGGTGGATCTAGTGGTAACGAACTCCATCAACTTTTGTTTATCTGGAAATGTCTCAATTTCTCCTTCATTTTTGAAGAACAGTTTGTAGGATATAGAATTCTTGGTTGAAAGATGTCTTTTCTTCTTTTTTTCTTTCAGCACTGTAAATATATCATCCCACGGCCTTTGGCCTCCAAGATTTCTGATGAGAATTGGCTGATAATCTTTTTGAGGATTCATGTTATGTGATGAGTCACTTCTCTCTTGCTATTTTCAAGATTCTCTTTTTCCCTTTGGCTTCCAACAGTTTGATTATGAGTCTCAGTGTGGGTCTCAGGTTTATCCTACTTGGAGTTTGTTGATCTTCTTGCATTTGAATACTCATGTCTTTCCTCAGATATGAAAAGTTTCTTTCATTATTTCTTTTGAATAAAGTCTCTGCTTCTTTCTCTTTCTTCCCTCCTTCTGCAGCTTATATAATGCATACCTGATCTGCTTGATGGTGTCCCACAAGTCCCTAAGGGTCTGTTCACTTTTCTTTATTCTTTTTTGCTCCCCAGACTACGTTATTTTAATTGCTTTATCTTCAATTCCCTGATTCTTTCTTCTGTCTGCTCAAATATGATATTGAACACTCTATTAAATTTTTAATTTCAGTTAATATACTTTTTATCTCCAGAATTTCTGTTTGGTTCTTTTTTACAATGTCTCTCTCTGTTGATATTCTCAGTTTGTCCATCTATCATTTTAGCTCTTTGAGCATATTTAACACATTTGTTTTAAATTATTTGTCTAGGAAGTCCAATGTCTGGGTTCCTCAGGGACGGTTTCTGTCAATTAACTTTGTTGCTTTGAGTGAACCATGTTTTCCTAGGGTTTTTTGTATGCCTGTAATTTCGCTGTTGCTGTTGTTGAAAATTGAGTCTATTAGTATTATAATGTGATAACTCTGAAAATCAGATTCATCCCTTTCCCAAGAGGTTTCTTTTTTTCCCCTTTGGATTTTTGGCGCTGTTGCTGTTGTTGAAAATTGAGTCTATTAGTATTATATCGTGATATCTCTGAAAATCAGATTCATCCCTTTCCCAAGAGGTTTCTTTTTTTCCCCTTTGGATTTTTGGAGGCTATAGTAGTCCAATTGTCTTGAGACTTTTCCAAACTCTTTTTGCAAAGACTATTCCTTATTGGGTGTGATCACTGAAGTCTCTGATCTGTCAACTCATGTTCAGCTAATGTTTTGGAAGAAATTTCCTCGAATGCCAAGAGCTGAAATGAACAAATAAACAAACAAAAACCCCACAAAAAGAGAGAAACTCCTCTCCTAGTCTTTGCAGATTGACTCTGGGCTGGACACTCCTTCACCACTTAAGCTTGCTCTAAACCCAGAGACCAGCCAAGGTGAAAGCTTGAGGTCTTCTCAGGACTTTTCTGAGCATGCATCTTGCCTAGGCATGTGCACGATTTTCTAAATTTCCATATATACACAGCTATTTTAAATATCCCAATTTTTCGAAGAGTCTCACCCCAGCCTCTCCTCCAGGCCTCACTGGTCTATTGTATATCTCCACCAATAATCTCTTGTCCCCAGGACCTCAGTTTTATAGTCTGTCTTGTAGCTTTTATGAATAATGCCTGCTGCTTTCACACCTCCATTCTGAGTTATGTGACACAAGTACCTTGCATCAGTCCTTCAGGAATCCCCCAGACAGGATACAACAGTTACACACAGTAATTTGCAAATAAGATCTGCTCTGCTCCCTCCAGTTGGGGAAGGTGAGGAGACTGAGAACTGAGTAGCCACCTGCTCAAGACCAAGACTGCCCTGCTGGACAAACAGTGGGGCAAGGGTCAGTAAAAATGCCACAAAACTTTCCTACCATTTTGATTATGGCTTTTTCTTGATTGAGCACTTTCTGGGTTGTTGTAAACCTTTGACTGTTTTCCAGAGAAGCTACGAAGTGAGTTCAGTTAGCTTCTGGTTGTTTGTTTCGATGTATCTGTGGGAGAACAGAGCTTGGAGTTTTGTAGTATGCCATTTTCCTGACATCAATTCCCAATAGCATTTTTTTTAAAAAGCCAAGGTTGAGAACTTACCTGAGTGCCTTTGTGGACTTTGTCAACCGCCACGTAATAAATGTGGACTCTGACCATCTCTGTGTGGTAGACAAGATACTTTTCCCTACCATTCGGGAGCTTTTCTAAGATCTGTAGACTTCACCTTCAAGAAATTCAGGCCCAGACAGAGACAAGAATTCCTTCCCTGGATGTGTGTGGCCCATCTTCCAAGGTCCAGCCTCGAGCCCTACCTGAGATGGTTGACATCAGGAAAATTCATTCCCTTGAGAGAAGACTATCCACAGGAGTGTGTCAGGTCGACTGTATCAAAGCACAGAACACTGCGTTCGACAGCAGTTTAAGTGGTACATGAATGCGGGTGGGACATTATGGTGCCCCTTGGCGTAGTGGTTCCTAAATTTCTGCCATTCATGTCTACATCTACTATTTTGTGCCGCATCTGTGTACCCTCAATATTACTTAGTCTATATTTCTCTTTCAGTCGACTCATTATTTTACTTTAGATTTGTTTTTTTAAAGTTCATCTAGTATCAGAATAAAAAACAGTATCACTGCCAGAAACAGAAGGCAATTATAAACATAACTATGTTTTTAAAAAGTTCTTCCTGCTGAAAGCTCTGACCCTGAAGCTTATCTTCCTCTTGGTACTTCCAGAGCTTTTACAAACATGTCAGCAACCGAACCAGGAGTCTCCTTGACATAATCAGAATAATTGGAAATGAATCCAAAAAGGGATGGGATTCAATGATTTTAAAATGTTTTTTCAGG